CAATTCATAAACATGCATACATATACACATATATTCACACATACATGTATATTCAAACCTTCCATTCATGCCAATCATCAACAATCTACATAAACATCTACATTCATGTTTATTCACCATACATCATGCACAGATGTCTACATGTAACTCACAGAGACCGACACACGACTTTATGCAGATGCAAATGCGGTACCGACTCATTTCAGCAGGTTCAATTGAAGAACCAAATAACCATCGCTCACACCCCACATGGGCACACGAGGTTATGCAGATTCACCGAGGAATCAAATATAACCATCACAACATACGAGGTTCTACAGATTCACCGAGGAATCAATAAATAACCATCGCTCACACCCCACAAGGGTACACGAGGTTCTGCAAATCCACCGAGGGATCAATAAATAACCATCGCTCACACCCCACATGGGCACACGAGGTTCTGTAGATTCACCGAGAAATCAATCGACACAAGAATGCATACCATGATGCTTCACATGCAACATGACTCATGACACTCTTGAAATGCATACATGTTTACAAACATACTCATGCATTCATCACACTCATCGCATATATTCATTATGCATTCAAATATATGTATCACAAAGCATATATATATTCATCATCCATTCACACCAATTTTCATACATGGTTCACATTCACAATCAATCTAGCCATACATCTCTATTTAATTCAAATAATGCACAAAATTGCCAAACGGCCACATTTCACACTTTACGAATCACAAACTAGGATTCACACCATACGGCTACCCACAACACGTATAACAACATATAATTAGCCATCTCAGACAAGGAATGATCGCAACCAAACCACACAACCGATCCACAAATGGAAAACACAAGAAAAGAAAATATGATGTTGTGTTCGCTAACCTTCGCCTGGCGAAGCCTCTGGCGAACCTTAGCTACTCCGTTCGCCTGGCGAACTTGCCAGCGAAGACCACTGGGATTTATTCTGGAATTACTCGCTAGCACTCGCTAGTACACTCGCCTGGCGAACCTTCGCCACTCTCATTCGCCTGGCGAACTTGCCAGCGAAGACAGGGTGGATGCTTCTGACTTGGTTCGCTGCTGCTCGCTGGGCTTCGCCTGGCGAACCTGCAAACTCAGAACTCCCATGGCTGTCCAAAAGCCCAAACCTCACAAAACCGACCGATTTAATCCAAATCAGTTCCAGCAGTACAACCCACTCATCACCCGACTATACTACACCGTCTATTCCAAATTCTAACCGATAAAACTCAGTTTCTACCGATTAAATCAACTTCCGACCTAGAAATGGAAACATAGAAACAATCCAACAAATCCAATCTAGCACATACATGATCATACACATTATGAAGATGATAAAACTTCTCACCCTTACCTGATTAATCGCAAGCTAAGGTTGATTCTTGATGATTCTAGGTTTTGCTCCACTTTCTCTTCTTTTCTCTCCTCCTCTTTTCCTTCTCTTGTTTTTCTTCTTAATGTTTCTATCTTTCTCTATTCTCTCTATATCACATATTCTATTTCTTTCCTCCCAAATTCTTTCCACACACTTATAAATTAATTCTCACAAAATATCCACTTAATATTATCACTAATGCCCAAAATACCCCCAACCTATTTTTACCCGAAACTCTCAAAGTCGGCAAAAATAGCTCAATATGTAAACATAACATATTATCACACAAATTCCACATAAATAAAATAATTACTTAAATAAATCAAATAAGGACTCAATAAAAATGGGAATTCAGAATCGGGGCGTTACAGAAGTCGTTTCTACAATCGCCTATTTGTTGAATAGGTGACCTACAAAGAAGCTTGATAAGGTGACTCCATAAGAGGTGTGGTCTGGATTTAAACAAAGCTTAAGTCATTTGGAAGTTTTTGGTTCGATAGCATTTCGACACGTCCCGGGTCAGTTTCGAAAGAAGTTGGACGACAAATGTGAGATGATGTTACTCGTTGGTTATCATCCTACTAGAGGTTATAAATTGCTTGATGTTTTAAACAAGAGGATCTGATTAGCCGAGATGTTGTGGTTGATGAGCTGCGAAATTTTGAAAGTAACAGAAAAATTGCTGATACAGGCCCCGTAACCGGTTACGGTCAAAGCGGTAATCGATTACCACGTGAATTTTTAGATTCTGAAGCTACTGGAACTGGTTTTGCAGAAGGCTTAACCGGTTATGAGAATCCTATAACCAATTACGGGCATGAAAATCAGGTTTTTCACAATTCTGGAGGTGCTGTATATTAACTTGTCGAAGTCGAAAACGAAGAAAATGGTAGAGGACTAACAAGGAAAAGAACTTTGCCTCTGAGACTCCAAGAATGTGAAGTATTCAGGGATAACAAAATCAACGATGATGGTGATTTTGTTCATATTGCGCTTATGACCGAATCCGAACCGGTGAACATGGAAGAGGCTCTAAGCGATCCAATGTGGATTTGTGCAAAGAAGGAGGAGCTGTAATCTATTGAAAAAAATAGTACTTAGTAGTTGGTCAATTTAACGCTTGGAAAGAAGCCAATTGGCATGCAATGAGTCTATAAAGTGAAGGCAAATTCGAAAGGCGAGGTGATCAAGCATGAGGCTTGATTGATAGCGAAAGGATTCTTGGAACGTGAAGGTATAGACTTTGAGGAAATGTTTGCACTTGTGGATAGGCTTGAAACCATCCGATTAGTTTTTGGCATTGCGAATAACAACATTGAGCGATATATCAAATGGACGTCAAAGCTACGTTTTTGAATTGTCCACTTGATGAAGAGGTTTATGTTGAGCAGCCCCCCAGATTTGTAGTAAAGAATTAAGAGATGAAGTTCTATAAATTGCATAAATCATTATATGGTTTGAAACAAGCTTCAAGATCTTGGAACAAACACTTTATGGCTTTCTTGTTGATATTAGTTTCAAGCAATGTGTGTTCGAACATAGAGTTTATATGAGATTGGATGCGAATGATGGTGTGTTCATCCTTTGCTTGTATGTGGATGATTTATTGATTACCGGCAGCTGTGAGAAGAGTATATCTAAGTTCAAGAGTGAACTTATGGATGAATTCGAGATGACGGGCCTTGGCATTATGACGTATTTTCTTGGCATAGAGTTCCATAAGTAAAAAACGGAACTGCTCACGCATCAAAGGAGATATGCTTTTGAGATCTTGAAGAGGTTTGAAATGGGGCATTATAAATCCGCCATTACGCCATGTGAGGCAAGGTTGCAGCTGTCCAAGAGTGAAGATGAGCAAAATATGGATCCCACATAATATAGGAGATTGATTAGACCATTGCGGTACTTGTACAATACGCGACCGGACTTGACGTTTAGTGTCGGTATTGCGAGTAGATTCATGGAGAGACCGAAGGTGTCTCACTTGGAGGTAGTCAAGAGGATCCTTAGATACGTTAAAGGAACTCTTGGTTTCAGAATTCTCTTTCCCGCATCAGATACGGGCCAAAAAAGCGATTTACTTGGTTTTTCACTGATTCCAATTGATGTGGTGATAAGGATGATAGAAACTCAACGACTAGATACATATTCATGTTTGGTAGGACACCAATCTCTTGGTATTCAAAGAAGGAACCAGTGGTAGCACTCTCGTCTTGTGAGACCGAGTACATTGCGGTTTCGTTGTGTATGTGTCAAGCTATGTGGCTCATGAATCTATTGAAGGAGTTGGGTAGCAATGAGGATGAGGCTACTACACTTATGGTTGATAATATTTCTGCAATAAACCTTATGAAGAATCTGATTGCACACGGAAGAAACAAGCACATAGAGATGCAGTTTCATTATTTGAGAGAGCTAGTGAGTGAAGGCAAGTTATGATTGACATATTGTCAAAGTGAATACCAAGTTGCAGATTTCTTGACCAAGGGGGTAACAAATGAGTTGTTCAAGAGGTTGAAGAAAAATTTGAGCATGTTGGACTTGGAACAACTAAAATGAGGTGGTCTGTTGAAAAATTATTTTTTTGACATTTCAGTTGTGGTAACTGGTTACTGCTTGGAGCGTAACCGGTTACGACGTTGGTCAGAAGCTGGATTTGTTGGTATCAGGCTCGTAATTGGTTACGACATTTAACGTAACTGGTTACACAGACATTTTTTGGTTTTTTCCAATTTTCTTAGTTTCAACTTATTTGGATAAGTTGTTTCTGTTATTTCCCAATCATTTTGTACTTGATGTATAAATTGTCTTCTAAGCTCCCATTTGAAAGTAACGCCAATTATTCTTCTCACCCTCAATTACTCTATTTTTCTCTCTCAATTTCTTAACTTTATCTTCTTCAAATTAACTCAATTCTCTATTAATTTACCATTAAAATCTTTTGTATGTTCTAACATTTTTTAGAGCATATAAAATTCTTATATGATAGATAGTGACATACATTAGCATATATCACGTGACATGAAACAACACTTGCCACACTATTAATTTTTTTACAAGGAAAAAAAATAAAAAATATGAATAATGAAGATAAAAAACTGATTTTTTTTAAACAAGTACCAAAAATTAAGTATATTAAAATAGGATTTAGTTGAAATTCACTGCTAGGATAAAACAATTTTACATTATCAATTAATTATAAATATTGAATAATAAAACATGTTTGACTTTTATTTTAACAAATTATAAAATAATATAAACGAATGATGATAATAAATTAATAATGTAAAACTTTTTATAATGTTTGTTAATAGTAATTGATTTTCATTAAAATACATAATAATCAATCTTGTTAAAATAAAGAAACAAAATGCATCTAAGCCTAAGCCTAAACTTTAAGTATGTAACTCGTAAATAATTTTTATTTACCAAATTTAAAAATATAAAATTATGCGAACCAACTACGTGGTGTGTACTCTAGCACGGAAATAGAGCGGTGAGAAATTGAGTTACGAAGAAGAAAAACGTAAAGGTCAGCGTGAATCAATGGAACTGAAAAGATAACAGTAAGTTAGTTAGCTTCTACTATGACACTTGCTTCCACAACCACCGCTCTCACTCTCTGCCACCGTCGAACACCACTCTCTTACTCCAAAACCCGTTTCCCCCAACAAAACAGTGTTATATCATTTTCTAGTTTCAGTAACCAAATTGTTTCCAAATTAAGCATCCAAAATGAAGAGCTCCAAGTTCAAACACGGTAATTCTGAATTAAATAGTGTTCTTATTTACGATCAACTACTTCTCGTGTATCTCTTAATATATTTCTTCCGTTGTAGCATGTGGAATTGGAAGGGTTACTTTATTCGCTATCAATATTCTGGAAACAACGGTCCTGCACTAGTTTTGGTGCATGGTTTCGGAGCTAACAGGTTTGCCTTCTTTCATTTCAATAAGAAAATGCATGGAACATGTTATTATATCAATTGAGTCTTATAGTTAGGTCTGTTTTTGGTTCTGCAGTTAATTTGAGTGATTGAGATTTGAGAATACACTTCATTGCAGTGACCACTGGAGGAAAAATATTCCAGATCTAGCAAAATCCCACCGTGTATACTCTATTGATCTTATTGGTTATGGATATTCAGATAAACCAAATCCTCGCCAAATTGGAGACGATTCTTTCTATACTTTTGATACATGGGCTGCACAATTAAATGAATTTTGTCTTGATGTTGTTAAGGATAAAGCATTTTTTATATGCAATTCGATTGGAGGTAAATTATTTTTAAGCATTTTGATAGTTAATCATTGCTTGGGTTTGTTTTAAATTACTCTTCAAGAATTTTTCTTTATTTTTGTGCAGGAGTTGTAGGTCTTCAGGCAGCTATAACAGAACCACGAATCTGCCGGGGGATTGTTCTTCTCAATATATCTCTGCGTATGCTTCATATAAAGAAGCAGCCTTGGTATGGAAGACCTTTCATCAGTTCGTTCCAAAGATTGCTTAGGTACAAATGAAACATGAGTTTCTTTATATGTGAATAGATTTCAAGTTCAAAATTTAAGCCGGGGATTTACCATTATCAAGCTGTATGTTATAGGGATACTGCTGTAGGAAAATTCTTCTTTAAAGCTATTGCAACGAAAGAGTCTGTGAAGAATATTCTTTGCCAGGTACTCTTCTAGCTTAACAGTCAGTTAGACTGCATCTCATTGAAAGCTTATGTTTAAAGAATTTTTGATAGACAAACAGAAGGAAGTGATGGAGGATGAATCTATTATAATGAAATTGAATGACCTTGTTGACAATAACAGATGTATTTGATTACAGAAATAGGAATATTTCTTTTGAAGCACTGCATACATCAGACATGCCAGTGACATGTCGACACAAGTAAAAATTTTAAAAAATGAAAGAAGTTGAACATAATCACATGTATCGGTGTTGTGTCAGACTGAAACGGAAATAAACATAGCAGCACTGCAAAGTGCGAATGGTCTGAGGGGCTGGTTTCTGGCTTACCCACAACAGCCTCTAATCACATAAATTATCTCCTGAGTTGGGATCCTCTCTTTTGTCTCCTAGCTCTCTGAATGTACACTTATATTGATGTATATCAAACAATGAAGTTATAAGAAACCGGCTCCAAAGTGTATCATGCTTTATGTGCTGACAAAAACAGATGTTTTTACCTGAAATTTAATGATTGTGAATGAATTGCTTTTGACAGTGCTATCATGACACTTCCAAGGTGACTGATGAGCTAGTGCAGTTCATCCTTAGTCCAGGACTGGAACCTGGTGCTGCAGAGGTTTTTCTTGAGTTTATTTGTTACTCGGGTGGCCCTCTTCCAGAGGAACTGCTACCCCAAGTAAAGGTAAGCTTCCTCTTACTCTAGGAGAAAAGGTGGGATGTTTTAATAAACTGAAATGCTACAAACAAAAATAACATTGGTGATTTCTCTTATTTCAGTGTCCAGTTTTGATAGCTTGGGGTGACAAGGATCCTTGGGAACCAATTGAAATGGGAAGAAATTACGGAAATTTTGATTCAGTAGAAGACTTCATTGTCCTTCCAAATGTTGGGCATTGCCCCCAGGTTCTCTCTTTCTCTCATGTCATCACTTGCTTGCTGTCTGTGATGTTTATACAATTATATATGAAAAAGAGTTTGAGTTAGTATTTTTCTGAGTGATGATTATTTCCTCCTCGTGCATGATAGATATCATATTAACAACTATCACACACAACACAACACAGTAATAATAGTTATCAAAGGTCGAGACATGAGTTCTACAACTTAGTAGGAGAGTGACAACAGTACATACACATGAACCCCACACAAAGATACTAGTCATAACTATTAACTACTATATACAGAACAAAAGGATTGTTCAAATTGGAAACGGTAATGCTTGAGGAATGGAACATAAACCCTCTAATGCCATGGTATAATCCTGGTTAACTTTTAAAAAACTATCATCTTTTATGACCACTTCTACACATCTACTCCTTCGGCGGCAGTGGGGGAAAGTCGTAACCATATGTACGAATTGGTGAGAAGAAATCACGATCAAAACCTGCTGCACCATAAAAATTTAAGTCACAGTGAAAGAAACAAATTGTTCCCTTGTCGATAAACTCATTCTCTGTCAAAAACCCAATCAACAATCTCACCATACACAAAATCAATTTGATAAGATGGATGATCTGAAACCATTTTGTAGGAAGAAAGTGCTATTGGCATAAACTAAAGTTTCCTCTATCGATAAGATGGATGATCTGAAACCATTTCATAGGAAGAAAGTCTATTCATGCTATATGTTTAGAGTTGGGCGAGATGTTTGGGTATTGATCATCTGTACGTTGGGTAATGATCTATTTATCTACAGTCAGCCTTAACTTCAGCATTCATCAATCATTCCCCAATGACTTATGTTCAACAGTTATTGAATTAGAATGTCGAGAAGAATTTTCTATAAGATATTGGATGCGAGTTTGACCTTTTGAGCCAAGGAAGGTTCCTTTACTATCTGTCATCTGATTAATTAGTTGTGTTGTATGTGCTCCTGGAAGGCCTTGTCAAATGCACCTACACTTGCATAGGGATTTTAGTTGTCTAATTTATGTTATTGTGTTTCTTAGCATTAACTTAGTTTTTTGCTTAGAATCAGTCATGCTATCTCGGCTAATACTTGAAAAGGACCAAAAAACTTTGGTAGGAGTTTGTGATGTTACTGCTTTGACACAGATAGTTGTCGACAGGGGTGGAGTTTTAGCCATACCCAAGCACCAATCTCAAAGTTCAATTCTCTATGTCCCGAGTCATATGCATTTGTCATGCGTTGTTGAGCTTTCATGAGTCTTGCTCGGGCATCTTGGAGGACTACATCTCGTTCCTGAATAGCCTTATCAACGACTTCAATGCGGGTGGATCCAGCATTATAACGAAGAAGGCGGGGTGGGTCTTTTCCGTATACCAACTTAAATGGTGTGGTTCTCAGTGAGGTATGGTAAGAGGTATTATAACAGAATTCAGCCCAAGGAACCCAATCAACCCATCTGCGTGGGTAATCACTAGTGAGGCAACGGAGGTACATCTTGATAGTGCAGTTAACCACTTTTGTTTGTCCATCAGATTGTGGATGATAGGCAGAAGAAAAGGCCAATTTAGTCCCACTTAGGCGAAATAGTTCCTTCCAAAATAGACTTTGGAAGACTTTGTCACGGTCAGACACTATGGACTCCGGTAATCTATGAAGCTTGAATATTTCTACAAAGAAAACAGTGGCAACAGACCTTGCTGTAAATGGATGAGATATTGGTGAAAAATGTGCATATTTGGAGAGTGGATCAACCACCACAAGTAGAACTGATTTACCGTGGGCCCTAGGCAGCCCTTCCACAAAAGCCATAGAAATATCCGCCCAAATTTGTTGCGGAATTGGAAGAGGTTGCAGCAGTCCTGCAGGTTGAAGGGTCTGCCATTTATGGCGCTGACAAACTGAATAATTCTATACAAACTCCAGAATAGTAAGCTTCATGCCCCTTTAATGAAAATCTTGTCGAATTCGATGAAGGGTTTTCAGGCTGCCTTTATGTGTCATGTCATGAGTGGTGGAGAGGATAGTGGGTATAAGAGAGGAGGTGGGCAGCAAATGTATCCTTTCCTTGAAGAAAATTAAGCCATTATTAATGGACCACTTTGGCCCTAATTCACCTTGTTCAATGGTTCTCTTCAGCTGTAATAATTCATGAAGTGTTGATGTTTCCTTGCGAATATCCTCCAAAATACCAACATGAGGAAATGATATTGCCATGACATGCGGGTCCTCCTCCTCTCGCCTGGACAAGGCATCTGCACTTCTATTTAATTTTCATGCCTTGTGTTCTACTCTGAAATCAAATCCCATTAATTTACTCATCAAATGTTGTTGTGGGGAAATGGTCAGGCGTTGTTCCAACAAGTATTTAAGGCTAAAATGATCTGTTCGTATAAGGAAATGCATGCCCCAAAGGTAGGGACGCCAATGTGTTACAACTTTGGCCAATCCTATCAATTCACGCTGGTATGCAGCTAGTTTTGAGTGTCGTTTGACTATTTTTCGACTGAAATAAGCAACGGGGTGTCCTTGTTGCTGTAGAACAACTCCAAACCCACTGCCAGATGCGTCACATTCAACCACAAACTCGGCATTGAAGTTTGGTAATCTAAGTATCGAAGCTGTTGATAAGGATTGTTTTAATGCTTTGAAGGCACTATCAGCTGCAGAATCTCAATGGAAGCCCTTTTTTCCTTAACAAACTTGTTAGTGGGGCTGCTATTTCCCCATAGTCTTTTTTGATAAATTTGCGATAATAACCTGCCAAACCGAGGAAACCCCTGAGGGCCTTTACAGATTGAGAATAGGCCATTCTGTAATAGCTTGAATTTTCTCAGACATCCATTTCGACTCCAGCACCATGAATAATATGGCCCAAATAAGCCACTTGTGACTCACCAAAGGAGCATTTGGATTTCTTCAAAAACATGTTGGTCCTCAATAATTCAAAAACTATATGTTCTACCCATGTTTTACTGAAAATTAAGATATCATCAAAGAAGACTAGCACGAACTTACGTAAGTACGGCTGAAAAATTTCATTCATTAGATTTTGAAAGGTTGAAGGAGAGTTGGTGAGGCCGAATGGCATGACGAGAAATTTTAAGTGTCCATGGTGAGTTCTAAAGGCTGTTTTCTCTACATCCATTGCTGCCATTTGTATTTAATGGTACCCGAATCTTAAATCTAGCTTTGTAAAATGTTGCGCCCCATTAAGCTCATCCAACAATTCGTCCACCACTGGAATCAGAAACTTATCCTTTACTGTTTGGGCATTGAGTTCACGATAATCCACACAAAAGCGCCATGATCCATCATGTTTCTTGACTAAGAGAACAGGTGAAGAGAATGAGGACTTGTTGGGTTGGATAATCCCTTGTTGCAGCATCTGAGTGCACTGCCTTTCAATCTCATCTTTTTGAAAATGTGGATACCTATATGGTCTGACAACCACTGGTTCTGTGCCCGGATTAAGCAAAATGCAGTGATCACAATTACGACTAGGTAGTAAGCAAGATGGTTCCATGAACAAGTCTGCAAAGTCAGCCAACAATTTCTCTAAGATCACTGCTGGAGAATTCTGTCCCTGCATCAAATTCATTCTATGTTCGGATTCTGCAGGTTTACCCGTTCATTCTACCTTCTTCCCATTCACTATAAACTCCATTTTTAAGGAACTAAAATCCCATAAAATTGGACCCAATGTGCACAACCACTTGACTCCTAAAATCACATCAAATCCAACAAGCGGAATGGTATAGAAATTTGTTTGAAACCTTTCTTGTGCCACAAAAAATGGTACAGACTTGCAAATTCCCATACTAGTTAACTTCTCCCCATTTGCAACGTATACTCGCAATCCCAATTTTTTCCATACGTTTAACCCCAAATATGGAATTAAGTCTTCACGTATGAAATTATGTGTGCTTTCTGAATCAACTAATAATGATACTGTTACTCAAGCCACTTTCGCAAGCAACTTCATAATACAAGAATCATGATTTCCATTAGTGGCATACAGAGAAATTTGAGGATCTGTTGTAACTTCATCCTCTGACTCATTGTCCTCTTCCTCGATCCCTTCAATAAAAAACAACTTTTTACATTTATGTCCTGTTGTGAGCGACTCGTCACAGTTATAACACAACCCCATTGCCCTCCTTTCCGCCATTTCCGCACGTGTTAATCTTTTAATAAAGGGTGCAGAAGAACCTGTTTTGTTATTACTTCCCGCCAGCTTGGTTGTGTGTCCTTCTTTTGCCGTTGTGCCTTTATGGTTTGAGATAGCAGAACCATTGCTGAAGGTTCTACTCGTATTATCCCGTGTCGTAAGCATTCTTTGTGAGCACTTCAATTTACATTCAAATGCTCGAGCCACGTCCATAGCAACACCTAGATTTTCTGGTTGTTGAAGTTCAACGTCAATCCTTAATTCATCACCCAGCCCCACACTAAATAAATCCACTTGTTGTTTAGGCTTAAGATCATGGGTTTTAGCAAGCAAGAATTGAAATTGGCATTGATAATCCTCCACGGATCCAGTTTGCTTGAGGTTGGCGAGTTCTCCCAATGAATTATTGCTTATAGGTGGTCCGAATTGTATATGGCAACATTCCTTGAAGCGTTCCCACACCATTCCGGGTTCTTCTTCTTCCATTTGATCGAACCATAGTTGTGCTTCTCCTGTCAAGTGAAACGCTGCTAATCCCACATTCTCTCTTTCAGCACTTCTTTGGTTTAGAAAAAACCTATGGCAGCGCCTTAGCCACCCTAATGGGTCCCCTGCCTCATCATAGTTGGGGAATTCCATTTTAGAATAGCGCAAAATCATGCTGCCGCCTATTTGCGTGCTGTTTTTGTCCTATGATCATTATTGTTGCCACTACCAATTTCTCCATCTTTTGAGTTGTCTTTTGTTGAATCATTATTCGCTCCTTGAATTAAGATTGAAAGGTTAGTAATTTGTTTTGCTAAAAAAGTCTGCCTGACCATCATCTGTTTTTCTAAAGCTGTTTTTCTAAAGCAGTATGTCGGACCGTCATCTGCTATTCTAAAGCAGTCTGTCTGGTCGTTATCTGTTCGATGAATTCCTTCATGACTGATGTTAAATCCGCGTCACCCATGTTGGCTCTAGATCCCAAATTGTTATGGTCCCTTGTCTGGGATCGTGTTGACACAGTCCTAAATGCGGTATACGCCTTCTTTCGACATATAGTGAAGGTAAAAGCGGACTCGCTTTTGCCAGAGCCTCTTCTTAAATTCACAATTACTTTTTTGATAATAGTTATTGATAACCTTCATTTATTAAATGTCTTTAAATAAACTTACAATAGAGTAAAAATCCCTAATTAAATTAGGTTAATAACTACTTTCCCCTAAACTTACTATCATTTAAATGAGATTCTGTTTTGACCCCTAAATTCTATCTTAAAATTACTGAAATTCAAATTTAAAAATTTTGTTATGCTAACTTATAAAAACGAACAAATAACTTAATCCTATTAAACATAACTAATCCTAATCAGCAGCACTTCCTCTACTTTCCCACAAATGCATCCATATAATAAACATACTGTTTCGATGATGTATAATTTGTAGGTTCTATCAAAAATCATTATTTTCATGCACATCCCTAGGTTCTAGATAGACCTGGCAGCATCACCATGTGAATTTTGCATGTAATTTACACATAGTGGAGTTCGGCCGAAAATGACCGTGATATCACTAAGTTGTATTTGACATCTATTCAAGGAGTTATATGCCCTTATAGGTACATACATTATCTATGCTATTACTTTTAAGATAAAAAATAACTTGATCTTCTAAGTGCTACACAGGTACTCGCCCTATCTGTCTGATATTTGTATTGCAAAACAACCATTCAACTATTTGTAGAAAAACTCTGAACTCATTTATTGACCAATCAGATTAAAGTGATACCATTTACAAAAAAGAGTGGTTTTCACTTGGATAAAAGGATACATCCTTTTCACTAACTATAATTGTAATGGCCATTCTTAATTTAATAAGCTTCATTATTAATCCATAGTGATGGTTTACTTTAAAGAGTCCTATATCGAACAATCAATGGCATGACACATGTGCTTATAAGGGGGACAATCTTTCATCCTACAAGTCGGTTTTATAGGATTGAGTTAGATCAAACTCACACATTTTTAAGATAGTATTAGAGTTTTTATAAGTGGAGGCAATCATCACCCTACAAGTCAGTTTTGTAAGATCGACTTAGGCTAAAACCATACATTCTTAAGAATTTACATAAGCTGTTTTGGTAAGTGTATTTATTTCATTTCTATCGCTATCTTAGAACCTATTTCAGCTCTAAATGACCAGATCTAATCAAATGTATAACTTTATTTTATTTACCATAATCTTCTTACTTACTTATATAAATGTACAATTCATGAAGGATGAAGCACCTCAGCTTGTGAACCCACTTGTTGAGTCATTTGTGGCACGGCATGCTAAATCTTCATCTCCTACCCCATCAGTTGGTTGATTTCCTCCAGTCACTTTGCTGATGCAGCTTGGCACATTGAAATCGTGTACATTTCTTCATTTGCTTCCACCAAGAGTGGGTTTCATCTTTTGTATAGTATATACATAATGAATTTTAAGAAATTGATTAAAGTATTTTATCGAAAACATCAACGAATTATATATACCACTTGGTAGGGTTGTTAAAAAAAACATTAACTGAATCGAGATAACATCAACTGAATCGAGATGAACTGCTGAATTGTCCAATTGAAATAAAAATAACTGAATTGTTATGTTTAGTTAGTGAAGTAATTCATATTGCACAAAACAGTTCTAGAACCGTACTGAAATTGAAATTGAGCCGAATCGAAACTACAACTGAACCAAATTGAAATTGAAAATTAAAAATACTATAACAAGTTTTAAATTTTTTTTAAAAAATTTGAAAAATAGTTTAATGGCTCGTTTCTTTAATAAATTTTTCGATTTGGGAAAATTATCTTCTAACGATTCAATATGGTTTGAAATTTCTAAATGGTATATCAAACCAATGGTTTAGGTTCGTTTCTAAGTAAATTGAAATCAGTGGCGAATTCAGAAGAATTTTGAAGCCTGTGCAAAAATTTGAAGACCGCAAATTCACATTGTATATAATATATAAAAAATTATCAATCAAAATAAAAGATCTTTAATTTAATTGGTCTCGGCAGAATTTTAAAACTAACATAGCCATATCCAATTTGAGGTTGATTCTAACATGGAACATCATTTCATGTGATTCATGAAGTTAACAGCAAGTTAACAAAACAAAATTTTATTTGCTAACTACTATAATTATAAACTAAATTTGAAAAATAAATTCTTAGTTAACATAAATTGAACCATATAATTTATATAAAGTGTAAACATAAATTGAATAATTGGACCTCATGTAACATAAAGTGAAACAATCAATAACAACAATTCAACACCATGATTCATAAACCACTACCTGCAACAACCACAATCATCAACAACAATAATAATTCAACATCATGAAGTAAAAGAATTGAAGCGAAAATAGGCGAGAAATTGATTAAAGTATTTTATCGAAAACATAATATATATTTTTATATTATTTGAGGATAAAATTTATTTTTTTTCTTCTTTTTAAAACACTGTACATATTTTTTTAAATTTTAGTAGTTGTTACTTTTATATTAATTTTTATTTCTCCTAAGTATTCATTTTTTGTTTTTGGTTAATTTTGTCCTAAATTGCAACTTTATTCTTTATTTCAATTCTTGCACTTTTTGTAATGTAGTTGAATCTAAATATTATAATATCAAAAAAATTGATGTAATGTATGCTTAATTGCATAAAAAAAGTATAAAAAAAATCATGTTTTTATTTGTGAAAAATGTTTAATTTATGGCGGTCAAACTGTCATTATCAACGACAAAGAAACCACCACTTTATTCAATGTATATTATGGCATTTTGTGTGACAGTCAGTTTTATTCAAGACTACTGCCATGTTTTTTTTCCTGCATTTCCATTAATTATGGCAGTTTAAACCGCCATAATAACACCTTTTAACCTCCACAATTTTCATAATTTTTTTTGTAAAAGAAGGCAAAATTTTTGGTCAAATCTTCGGCACATGCCCAGCTTAGTCGGACCTTAAAATTGCCTATGATTGAAATAGTTTGATTCAGTTTGAGTAGATATTTATTATGGTTTGGTTTTGTTTTGTTTTCTGACTAAACTACCATGAACAACCCTACCATTGAGATATCTTAGAATTATCTTGACCACACATCACCAATGAGATTCCAATGACGAGGCCATAAATTGGCAAACATTGTTTACATTAAAAACAATGTCTGACCTAGTAAGAGTCACATATTAGAGAGCACCTACCATAGATCAATACATGTGAGGGCCTGAGAAAGAATAAGAGCCATGTTTGCTCAGTTTGCAGTTGGTCATCATATGAGTGGATACACCATTTGTATTGCTCATCTTGACTCGAGTAAGAAGATCTCTAATATACTTGAACTGTGTGAGGAGTATGTAGCTAGTTATGAAGTGCTTAACCTTAATACCTAAGAAATATGCAGGTTTGCCTAGCCTTTTTAGTGCAAAAATGGCATGGAGAGAATCAATTAACTTGTGAATCAAAATGGATGATGACCCTATGATGAGAATGTCATCAACATAGACTAATGCATAAATGGTTAGGCCTTGATGGAAATAAATGAATAAGGAATGATCACATCTTCTATGAGAGAAAGCCAAATTGAGTTAGTGCTTGAGTAAATTTCTCATACCATGCTCATAAGGCTTGTTTGAGGTCATAAAAGGGCATTATTCAGTTTGCAAACTAAGGTTAAATATTATTTTTCAAAGTTAGGTGGTTGAGCCATATACACTTCTTGAAGAGAGCAATTGCGGAAGACATTATTGATGTCAGTTTGTTGGAGATCCCACTTGTAAGTCAAAGCAACAATGAGTATAACTCTGATTATGGTTGGTTTCACAACTAGAGGAAAAGACTCATTAAAGTCAAAGCCAAACTATTGATGATAACCTTTGGCTACAAGCGAGCTTTGTACTCATTGGCTATCTCTTTAGGATTCTCATTCACTTTGAAGACCCATGTGCACCCAACTAATTTTCTATGTGGTGGAAGAGTAGTTAAAGTCCAAGTTAGGCTAGCTAAGGGAGCATCATACTCAACTTGCATAGCTTGGTGCCACTTAGGTTAAGAGATTGCTTGCTTGACATTTTGAGGTTCAACATGAGATAAAAAGGTATTTTTGTTTGGAATGGCTAGTCTCAGCTCTTCTTAACATGGGATAATTATTAAGGAACTATTTTCTAGATGTGTAGAGTTATGTGTATGGATGGTGAAAGGGACCTATCAGAACAGTTGGTAGTAGTGGGGACTCGTGGTCTATAACCGGTTTGTAGGTAAGGAAGAGGTCATGACAAGAAAAGGGAATCATGCTCAACTCTAGAGAGAGTGAACATAGGGCTAGACTTAGTACAATGCTGAGATACTTGAGTAGAACTGCTAGGAGTACTTTGTGGCAAGCTATCTTCCACCACTTCTAGCAGTTATGTTGGGAGTGTGTTTAGTAGATAATTATGGAAAGGTGATTAACTTAGGTCTACATGCATGTTGGGTTATACTGGTAATATTTGTTTGAAATATTGCAGGAAATGGAATATGATGCTCATTAAACACAACGTCATTAGAGATGAACACTTTACCAGATTTGATGAGGGCCTTAAAGCCTTTATGAGGAGCGGACACCTGTAGATACACACTCTCCTGGCTAAGAGTTAGGGAGTTTGTGATACAAGGCATGAAAGGGAGAATGGAACTTGTTAAGCCAACAGTTAGGAGCCTATTGATTTATGCACTGATGTGGCAACACTATGGTCCAAAAATTATAGATGAGTGGATGATTGAGATAGCATGGTAAGCCTCATTTTAACAATATGTATATGTTTCCTTTCAATAGTCTCATTTTGGCGAGAGGTGTGAAGACAAATTAGTCTATGTGAGATGCATATTTCAGACAAATATTTAGTAAAAGGCCTAAACTTTCCTCTATAACTTGATTGTAAAGCTTTTATAGCAGTATGGAACCAAGTTTTGACAAATGTGAGAAAGAGTTTGAAGGCATGAAGTGCCTCTGGCTTCTATTTCAAGAAATAGATCCATGTATACTTGGTATAACCATCTACAAATGCAATATAATAGTGAAAGCCTGAACTAGAAGGGTGATGTGAAGCCCCCCAAAGATCAGCACAAACTACTTTAAATGGAGTAATATATATAATAGATGACATGAGAGCTTGTATTCTATGAGATTTTACCAAACAACATGATTTACAAAACACAATGTTTCCTTTATTAGAGATTTTTACATTAGAACGTCTCAAGGCAAGTATAATAGCAGGAAAGCGAGCATGACCAAACCTATAATGCCATAAAGAGCTAGTGCTAGGTTTATTTACATTAGTATTGACATAACATGAAATTGAATAAAAATTTGTGTTAAACATAAGAGAAACAATATGATTGATAGTACTCAAATAAGATGTTCTTGAAGGCTTCACTAGCAATTGTTAGAATCAATACAAGCCACATGAGTCAAGATTGCCTTCAAGAAGGGTGAGCCTAGGAACTTGGGATTTAACATTTATCAACAAAGAATTCAAAAACAACCTTATTATCTTTAGATAATTCATACATCGGTAACATGTTTCTTGTTATGTAAGGAACATAAATAATGTCATTAAGAGTTAGAGAGGTAATAGGGATGGAATTGGAAAACACATAGGAGAACCCTACATAATTAATGGCTAAAGAGTGACCATTAGCTACACAAGTTTGACTATGACCTACATAAGGTTTCTTGATGTGTAAGAAATGAGAAGGAGGAGTAAGGTGATGGAAAACACCTTGTTCTGTCGTGGAACCAGAATTAGAGATGATTGATGATGTAGAACTCTAGAATCTATTATGCTAATCTCCAATATGGTGGTGCGAGGTGGAATTGCAAGGTTATCACTCCAATGCCCAAGTCACTTCAGAGTTCAAGATGAGTATAATGAAAATGGAGCTCAGAAAAGTGTATCTTGAATCTCACGTGTGCTGACTTTATATGTTGGATAATTTTGATTGGGTTTGCACCTAATTGGACTTTTGATTTGGGCCTTTGGATGTCCTAGAATACACCTGAATCAGCAAACCGGACTTGCTTTTCAAGTTCAGTGTGTAAGGAATATTCATGCGTAGTGGCCATTATGTATATGGCTTGAGAGTGTGATGTGGGTGATTCATGTTTGTTAGTAGTTGGACTCTAAAATTGTGATAAGTTGGACTAAGCACACGTAGGTGTAAAGGTTTCTTCAAACCTATGCCAATAATCAGCTACAACATGAGCATAATTCCCACAACGACATGTTGGTCAATTACCCGATGAAGAACAAACTCTACCACAACTTCTGCCACGAGTCATGC